ATGATAGGCACAGTATTTAGTGGGTCATATCTTGGTGGAAGAGGATTTGGAAGGGGTTGGGGTCTAGGAGTTCTAGGTGCCCTTCTTCTTGCAGCTTTTTCAAAGCTTGGAGAGACTCATAAAGAGGATGGAATTTTCGGGCTTGGGCCGAGTTGAAGTGTTGGTTTTTGGTCATTGAGGGAAGTGTGATAGGTGTCTACTTCACTGAGCATTCGCAGCTGTGCTACCATCAGTAGTAGCATTGGAACTGCGAGCAACATTCCTCTTCGAAGGCTCGTTATCTTCTGCAAAGATCCCTTGTCTGATGGCATCCTCGATTTGAACCCCCATTTCATGAAGGGTTGGATAGGTAAACAGAGGTAGAACGACCATCTTTTACAGCAACTTGCCATGCGATTCCGAACAATCATCTGATCTGATCTTTGTCGGAGGCCTTATAGTCATCATTGAGCCTTTGCTCTCCATCTTGTCACGAACTCTGAGAAACCCTCCTTTGGCTCTTGGCGGGTGAATTTGAGATCACGAGTCGTGACCTCGATCTGTGTGTTGTAGGAGTATTGAGCAATAAAGGCCTCAGCCAGCCCTTCCCAGTTCTGTTTCACAGAGTTCTCCAATTTTGCATACCAGATTGCGGCTATCCCAGACAGGGTTCGGCCGAATAGGACAATTTCTGGGCTGTGGTCAAACCCATTGGCCTCAAGATATCAGAAAACAGTTGGAGGTGCACTATTTGGGTCTTCAGAGCCATCAAATCGATCGATATGCGGCATTTTAAACCGCTCCGGCAAGGTCACCACTGAGTCGGTATAACCATCCTCTATATCAGGAATAGAACGGGCCCCCTGAGACTTTTTGAACAATTCCTCAAGCTTGCTCACTTTCAATGCTGTGGGGTCCATCTCGAACTCAAAAGGGGAGTCTGGCAGGTTGGTGGGTGTTTTAGACAGCTGGGGTAGCACGGGGGCGGAGCTGGCCCGCCTGGAATGTCCGTATCATCCTGGACGTGGGTTGCCTCCCCGAGTATGGGAACTCTTGGTGGGGGGGAGCCTGGTGTGAAGTAGATACTCCAGTTTACTGCTCTAACCTGGAAATTGTCTCTGCCTGTTGGGCTATGATCACGGCCTGTTGCTTTGGTGAATTCCGCTTGACGGACAGCATCTTGCTGCATGGCTTTCATACTATCCTGGAGTTGGCGCACCATCTCTTCCAGACTCGACATATTGTCCTGATCTAACTGAGCAACTGGTATTTCCTGTTCTGCAGTAGGCTCAAAAATCTCAACCTGGCTGTTCAAAGACCACTGAGCTGGTAGCTGCTGTACTGGTGGTCTGTGCCTGACCGACCTTTTCACCCTGCCTCTGGTAAAGGAACACTGATTGTCTTTGAACTGAATCTCTGACCCGACAAAGTCTATCAACACAAGTTCGGTGTCCCGGGGGATATTGGAGCCCTCTGAAGCTATGGTTCCCAGACTACCTAGTACAAGAGAAAAACATGCAGCATCTCAACCCGATTTCACGATAACCCGTATGAGCAGAGCTGAATGACTGTGCCTCCTACAGAATTCTGCCCAAAATTCTGCCCGTAAACTGATACCCTCAGGTGAACTGAATCCCAAAGTACTGAACTGGTGCCCGCAGGCCTGATGCCCAAACTACTAAACTGGTGCCCGCAGGCCTGATGTCCAAACTTGTAGACTGATACATGCATTCCTATAGAGACGCACTCTAAAAGCACATAGCCAGACAAGGAGAGCCAAAACACCCCTATGTTGGGTAGGGTTTCCCTGTCCTATTTTGTCAGGAGCTAGGGTTTCACTACGCACGCAGCGGTTTTCAAACAACCTAAATCGGGTAAGCAACCTGTCCTACTTGGAATGGTCACTATGGATTCCAAATATGCACTAGGTCGAATGGTCAAAAAGGGTGCCCCGGTAAAATCGGGTTTGTGTTCCATACTGGCAGAGCCCATAACCGGTCAGCCTTGTGGTCATGCTTGACAAGACAAGCCTCGGCAAACCGTTCAGGATAAGCAAATGGCAAACCGGTGTCCTAGGCGCACCAATGCACATACAATGCAAAGAAACACACAAGTGTAGTCAAAATAAGATATCATGAGTTCGAGTCAAGTTCTCTAACTCCCCAGCAGAGTCGCCAAGAAACTGTAGACGTCCCCGAACGCCCTGGGAGGGTGAGTCCCGTTCCGTTCGTATTGGGGTCACTACATCTCGGACTCTCAAATTGTCACGGTTCTAAATCTGAACCAAAGAGTCCAAATCTGGCAAATCGTTTTGAGAAAATAGATTTGAAAAGAAGTGCCAAACATGGACTGCTTTGCCAGATACAGAGTCGCCACCTAAATGTTTTATTTGGGGAAATTTAGGAACCCTGACTCGTTTGCCTAAGGCCACGTGTCCGTGATCACCAAAGTTGCCTCGGCTCTGGGAACTTGGGTACGATTGGGGAAGGTCATTCGTGAGCACCCCCGCTCGCCCGATCAAAGATCGGCCTCTAAGAACCATGATATCTATTTTTGAAAACATTATGCGTTCTTATTCGCGGTTATTAGCCTAGATTTACTATGTGATGCGCACAGCATACAAGTATAGACTGGGTCACCTGAATTGGAACAAAACATTTCATTTGAAAATGGTTTGATGGTGCTACCCGCAAGTAGGCTAAGACATGGATTTTCACACCCTCGGGTGGCTTAGAAAAACATGATTTTGCCACTATCTAGTGGGCTAAAACTTACAGTGAATGAATTGTTCCAATCCAAATAACCCAACCTTCACCCACAGGCATTCAGGCAGTTATATCACATAAGCCATAGTCTCATGGTAAGCATGCATCATGGCAGTCACTCACACACATGCAAGGATGCTAAAGCATAAAACTTACCGAGTACTCCAACAAAACAGAAGCTAATTAGAAATCCATGCATGATCCTAACTATACAGAAATGCCTAATGCAACACATGCAAAAATGCAACTAAGATAGGCTCGGCTATTTCTAAACATGGCAATGAAATGCTACAGCTAACATGTATTCAACTTTGGAATTGAAATACCAATGCAGTTAGTATGATGCCCCGAGCCCGGTGCATGCAAGACAGATGAATGAATGCAAACATGCTATCATACTGTATGCTAATTGAACATGCCCTAATCTAACATCATAAGCGGGTAAATAAAAGGGAGAAAGACATGGGGTTGGAAGACATACATCACACAGACGCACACTTATTACAGTTGTGCCCTCGCGCGGAGGGTCCTAATAAATAATAACAGTCCCAAATGAATAATTACAGTCCAAATATGTACAAAACCCAAATTAATTAACAAATTAAAAATAGGAAAGCAATAAATTGGCATGCAAGCCAGGGACTGCCTCAAATCTGCTCCGGATGATGAATGATGCATGCTTGGGTTGCCTTGTGCGGAGAATCCCTCACGATGCCCCGGTTTGCCTCTGTTTGCAATTGTTCTTGGAATGCGTGTCAAGCTCCGAAAGGCTGTCGATTTCTGATTTGCTGCAACAGAGAGCAAACAAAGGGGCATGGCAAAGTTTTCACATATGTATGCATGACTACTCTTTAAGGAGTGTAGTCCTCGACCCTCGTGCCACCAATCACGCATCTCGATGCATGATGGCCGAGGAGTCGAATTGCACGACTCGATATGAAATGAATGCACATATAAACACAACAAGACTAGACTCCCTCATGGATAATCCAGAGTGTCGGTGACGGGAATTGAGACGCGTTTCGTCACTCGAAGTACGAAACGTCCCTCGTTTCCTATCCCAAGCACAATGCAATATGCATGACATGCATGAATGCAACTAGTATACAACCTAGCATGCACAAATGCTATGAGATGACATACACAATGCACGATGTAACAAGGCATACACATGCTCTAACATACAACCTAGCATACGCAATGCTATGATCGAAATGGCATACACAATGCATAATGGACTTACACCAACATGAGTGGACCTCAGCCACACTCACATCAGTAAGCCATTAGATGAAAATGAGACTCTCGAAGTATGCGCACGCATGCACGCAAACCGAGGACCGAACCTAAGGCAACAAATGCCACTCTACCAAAGCATGGCAAGGCATGGAATATGGAATGCAAATATGAAAATTTCAGCGCTGAAATGTGATACAAAACAGCCCCGAAACATGGAACATGGCACCCGATGCATGGAATGAACCCCGAAATCCGAAACTAGCACATGGAATGACTTACAGCTATACAAAGGATGCATTATTTGATCATGAAGCATGAAGACAGATTCAAGACAGTCCTAAAACATGCATATTTCCAGTTTATAATAAGTCTCAAAATGAACACAAATAGGGCTAATCTATCATGCAAAATGGCCCTAAAAGAGAGATTAAACACAAAGGGACAGCAGCTGGCCCCAAATAGAAAAGAGCCCTTCAACAAAGTTGAAGAGGGGATCAAAAAAAGGCACTTTACAGTTTATATCAAGTCACAAAAATAATCAAAAATAAGGCCAAACTATTATGCAAGAAAAGGCCTAAAGAGTGGTAAGAGACAAGTGTTTGCTTCTGTTCTCAAACAGAGGAGAGCCCTTCAACAAAGTTGAAGAGGGGCTCAAAAACAGATATTTCACAGTTTATGAAAAAAGTCCAAATAGCTCACAAATAAGCCTAAAATACTATGCAAAAATAGGCCTAAAAAGAGAGTAAAGAGGCAAGTGATAGCTTCTGGCCTCAAACAGAGGAGAGCCCTTCAAAAATGTTGAAGAGGGGCTTCAAAAAAAGATATTTTACAGTTTATGACCAAGTCCAAAACAACTCAAAAATAAGCCTAAAAATACTATGCAAAAAATTGGCCTAAAAGAGAGATAAAGAGGCAAGTGGTAGTAGGAGACCTCAAACAGTAGGAGGTCCTTGATCAAACATGAAAAGGGGCTCAAAAAGATATTTTACATTTTGGGTCGGAGTCCAAAAAAGCTAGCAAGTATGGCTTAGATACAAAGAAAAATAAGGCAAGAAAAGAGGAGAGGAGGATTACCCTTGTAGAACCAAGCTTCAACAACTTTTGGGCAAGTTTGGGAGAGCTCTTCACCTCTGGAAAGCAGCCTCAAGTTGCTGGAATGAGGGATGGAGGCTTTGCTATGAGGTGTAGGGTAAATGGTGTAGACTTAAGGGGTTTTCGTGCTTGGAGTAGAGAGAGAGAAGATTGAATGCAAGAGCTCCAAACAAGTTTTTGTAACCTTTTAAAAATGCAGCTGGAAGTGCTGGTTTTATAGGGAAAGGAGTGGAGGAAAAATGGGGAAATCAAATTCAAATTTCCGCCCAAAAGACCCCCCCTCGGATACAGGATCTGGGGGGAAACAGAGGGTGCAGCTGTAAGTAACCAGGTGAGAGGGTCTTGGCCGGCCAGGTTCAGAAGGTTCAGGGGCCAGCCGGCCACCTCCATGGCTAGCCGACCAAGGGTCAAAAGGGTCAAGCACAATTGCTGGTCGGCCACCCCAAAAAGGTGGCCTCTCATGTGTGCACAACCAACTATGTAGTCAAAACCCAGAAAAAGTGAACCGAGAGAGAAAATACCATTTTTTAGAGGGGTTCAAAAGGGTCAAGCACAATTACTGGTCAGCATCAAATATTGGTGGCCTCCCAGGTGTGTACAACACAAATATAGGGTTAGGGTTCAAGAAAGTGGCCCCGGGGTGGTCAACATTGGCTTTTAAGTGAGGAAAACGGGCGTCGGAGAGCGATGAAGAAATAAAGCTCGATTTTCAGAACAATTGCTGGCCTCCCACCCTCCTACAAGCTTCCTAACTATGAAAATAAGGCTCCCACCAAAAAAGAACCAAAACGGATGCAAAACGGAGGTTCGGGGGACTGAAACGCGCGGCCTGGGGCCCCGAAAATGGGCTGTTAAGCACCGGAGGTGGCGTTCGACCACGAAGTTGGTCTCTCGGGCCACAGTGTTCCTCAAAAGGGAGGAAATAAAGGTGTTATACCAAAACCGGAGCAAACGGAGGTGGTTAGGTGGTCCCGAACCGGGGCACACGTCGACGGCTCCGAAAAACTGGAAACCGGGCTCCAATGGGGAAAATGGCTACGACCGCGAAACGTAGCCTACGGCTACTGAGAGATGGTCTACGAGACCTCTCCCTCCCTTTGGGGTAGAGAAAACAGAGAAAAACATAGCCTGGTTCGCAAACCGAGGCAAGGCATGAAAGAGTCCGGAAGTCGGAGGCAAGGCTTGCAGCCAGACTCTGAAACTTCTGAACGAGCACAATATGCAATATCACCGAGCGTTCAATCAGTGACGTCTGAGTCTTAAGGTCGATCAAAAATGGGGTGTCTACACCTATCTATTGAGGCTTTTGACAAGATGGAGACATCCCCACAAGTTTAAATGACACTGACCTCTCTCTACCACTTAATTACAAATCACAAATCACCCCTCCATCATTGGTTGAACCATCATACATCATCACCCAAGTCTCTAACCATCTCCAAAAAAAACATTTTATGATTCTCACTCTACTCTCTGTCCTTACTCTAAACTCTCACCCACTAGCATATTTCTCTCCACATATCTCAAGTTAGATCAAAATTCAAATCTACATTCCTTAGACTATTGCATAAAATTTCAAATTTTGTATCACTAAGCTGTGTTTGGTGGGGGATTTGGAGAGGGATTTGGAAAAGGGAAATGGAAAAGGTAGGTGAAATGTGAATAAAACATGCTTATATTTCACCTAGTTTCACACACATTTTCCCTTTCCCTTTCCAATCCCTTCTCAAATCCCCCAACCAAACACAGCATAAGTCTAACATTCATAACTTCTAACAAACCGTGAAGCTCATGCTAAAAATTTGAAAATTCAATATTCCATACCTACCCATGTCCAAACTGTTACACCAAAAAATACTTACAAAGAAATCTTGTTTAAAAGTGGAATTTTCATGTATCATTGAAAAAGCTCATATATGAACTAGTTAATCACATGTCAAAACTAAACCATCATTGGGGATCCATTA